TGTGTTCCTCCTTCCTCATATCTTTTCTCTTTGCCTGGGGAAATAAGGATTTTATCAAATTATTTGTGACCGACAGACATGAGAGAGATCCAATGTCGTATTCTGTGTTTTCTTTCTTGGTATGGCCGCAGCATGACCTTTGAGGAATTCTGGGTGTATATGATGTGTACCAATGTGGTGGAATCAGGCGCTCGTCAATTTTTGGGCATGTGGAGTCATTGGGTTTATCTCAAAGCTCTTTTATTTGTCTTGGTTTTGTTGAAAACAATCTTCAATAGAAGCCGAGAAGTTTGCAAATGACGAAGGTGGGGGTCACCTGGCCTCAGAGACAAAAGTGGAGAAAAAATGGCCTCCTATGTTTGATGACTGCTAAAGCTTTAGAGTCATTGGAAACAACAAATTTACATTTTGTATAGCATTGATCAACGGGGTTGGTTTTTTTTCAAAGTAAAACCTACATCAATATGAATGTGTTTTTAACAGTAAAAATTACCCAACAGCCATAAAAATGCAGATATCTTTAATTTCATCATTTTTTAACGAAGGCTTGATTTCACCACGATGCCTCATATATAATCACGTTTCCACTAATCAAGTTTCACGTCACAATTTGTCTTGACAAATAATTTTGTGCTCGTATGTCAATTGTGGAACTGATGACCTTGGCGTGTTACATCCACTCGACTCCGGCGTCTGTGGTATACTAATCAGGCGTTATTACTTGGCATGCCGTACACCCAAGTTTGATTTCTGAGTGGGGATATAAATTAGTTGGGGGGGGGGGGGGGTTTAATCGAGTGTCGCGGGCTTCCAGCTGGAATGTTGTATCCTTTTTAAACCGGATTGTCTCTAACAGGCAGCGTCGAATCTCGCTTCCTATGCGATTTAAATTGCGTCGATATGGGCCTAAGGACACTTTCATCTTTTTAAAAATTAAATTGAAAAATGTACTTTTTTTGGAGCTAGCCCGAGAACATAACGAACGTAAGACGTTCGGATCAATACAGCAATAATTTAGTGAAATGTCTGCAGTCTCAGCTTTCTTGATACACTATGCCCCTCAGGAGTCTCCATTATCCTCGGGGCTAACACGGAGGTAACCATTCCATCGTCCGCGAAATTTGATTTTAAATTACAATTTTAAGAACGGATACCTCAACTAAAATTGTTTATCCGTGTGCTAGTTGCGTACGATAAAAGTCTCTTGGCTGTTCTAAAATTAATAAGAGTAGGCTTCGGCGCCACCCGAGCAAAATCCAAATTAATTCTTACTAAACAGAAAAATGTGTAATGTCTCCTGTGCGATCATATGACCATATGCAGTTGAGAACGCTGTAAAACACAAACCAAAAATTAAAAAAAACCTTTTACCAAGGAACACTAGTGGTGTTTGCTTGCCACAGTTATTTATAGCACAATGATCTTAATGCTGGTGTTTTTACGCCCTCGTCGACACAATTTAGGTCATGTAGACGATGGGCTTCGAGTCTGCCGGGTAGGGTCAAAAGGACTGAGAGGATGCAACAACCCAGAGCAGAAAAACCGAAGTACTCGATCAAAATTTTCCAAATGCGAGAATCGAACCCATACGTGCTACACAAGAGCGTCTACCTACTACACCACAGAGCTTGGTACATTTATAAAGTCTAAAGTTCAGCAGAATCTTATACAGGGTGTTCATGAATTTAATGAGCACCTGCCCCCCCCCCCCCCCCCCCCACCAAACCTCCTCTCCTTCCTTTGCGACAAACTATTTAACCTTTTCAGTCCGTGCAGTGATTGGTGAGTGCTCTAACGTTGTTGACCCATTATTTACTATCATCAACTTAATCTTTTCTACGGATCTCTCCTGCTTTTTTGTGTTTGTCACTCTCTAAAAACACGTCTAATCTTCAGCACTTACTCGTATATGACCCTATTGTGTTGCAAGTGCCGTAAAACTATTAAAATATTTTTTAAACCCAATTCTCAAAACTGAAGTGTTTCAGAATACGTTTGTACAAAGGATAAAAAAATTCATTCAAGAGAGATATGAACAAAACCGTAATGGATTTCCCTTTTGTAAGAATAAGCAACTGCACAAATTGTAGTTACGCCTACACCTTCTAAATCGCTTTTAACAAACTAGTATTACAACAACAACAAAAAGATCAGTGGACCAGTTTGGGAAAATACAAGGCTCGGGGGCTCTCGTGATCTGGAGGTCACGGTGCTCATCTCTCATTCAATAGGTCCTGGTTTCAAAACCTGACAACGACGGATCATTTTCTTCTCTATAATCTTCTACTTCCACTTGCTTTTCTGCTCTCTACTCATCTTCAATCGTCTGCTTTTATCTCCACTTTCTGTCCCCTCCCCCATCTCATTTAACCCCACATCTGGGCTCCGGGCTTTTTGCAGTGTTTCTATAGTTACTCCGTGGCCACATCTTTCTGCTGTCTTTTAGCCACACCCCTGATCTTAGGGTAGGTAAAATCAAACACCTAGCTTTCTCGGATAAGGGCATCGTCCTAAAACTGATAAGAGTAGGCTTCAGCCGTCTCCTTGGCAAAATTCAAGATTAATTCCTGCCAAAAATGTGTCTTGGGCACGCAAATGACCTTACACAGTCCCGAGCGCCGTAAAACACTTACAAAAATGAATAATGAGTACAGGGGAATACCTACTTGTACACAGCTACTTCGCGAACGTTAATGTACATGTGTTTAGTGCAACAACCTCTCAGCCACTCGAATCCCCTATTAATAGTTCAATAGATCCCAAGAACTAATGATGCGCTACAATCTTTGTTTCATTTCATTCTTCTTGACGAATGTAATTTTTACCTGTCCTCTCGTCGATTGATAGCACAATGTTATGTCATGCTGCGACAAAAAGTAAATCAATGATGCCTTCTCATACTTTTGACGCCAGGTTATCATCCTACCTGTTGCCGTTCTTACATCACTCCGTTAAATTGTATCACAACATGGTGGAATCAGTCGCTCCTCAGATTTAGGGTGTTTTAAGTTATTATTAGTAAATTTTCTAAAGGGTTTATTTATCTTGCATTTGATGAAAAAATACCCATTTATCTTGAAGAGATGTCGAGGTCATTGCAGTTGAAGGAGGTGGGGGTCGCCTGGTGTCAGAGATACAATTATCGAGAAAATGGCTACTAAAGTTTGGTTGACTTTCATAGCTTGAGTGTCTTTTGAAGCAGCAAATTGACATATCATTGATCCTTTGATCAGCATGCTTATTTTCTGTAAAACACACTCAAAAATGTGTTTTTAAACAGTATACAAGGTTTTGAGCTAAAAATTATGTTTCCTTTTATTCGGTAATAACTGTCGAACGGGCGGGAAAACTTCTATTTCTTCAATTTTATTTTTCTGATAAAGATTGATCTCACCACGTCGACACACAAATAGTTCAGTTCTCTCCAAGAACTAATGATGAACTAAAAGCACTGTTGCATTTTTCTTGATAAATTTATCTACTCGTTCTCTCGTCGATTTAACCATATTATTAAGAATTCATGCTGCGGGAAAAAGGATAATGACCTCTCAAACTTTTAACGCCTGATTATTGGAGGCTACCTGTTGTCCTTCGTACGTTACTACTTAAATTATAGAAGATCACAGCACTTGATTAGTATTTTTGTAGTATCCGAGGGAAAAACACAGCCCTTTGCTCATATTTTAAGATAATCTCGCTAGTAGTTTACAACATTTGCTAAAAAGATGATGCGAAGGTGGCAGGATGTTTTTTTTCCTATTTTCACTGTCAGGTCAATTTTCCAAGACCGTTATCTTTCTAACTACTTTATGTCTGCTATACCAAACTAGATAATATATCTTTGACCCAGGTCCATTTTCACATGGCGCTGACTGACGTATATGGTTTATAGATAGATAGATAGGTAGATAGATAGATAGATAGATAGATAGATGGATAGATAGATAGATAGATAGATAGATAGATAGATAGATAGATAGATAGATAGTTAGATAGATAGATAGATAGACAGACAGACACATAGATAGATAGACAGACAGACAAGTAGATAGATAAAGAGATAGCTGGATAGACGGAGAGATAGATAAATGGATAGATAGATCGATGAATTTTATTTTGCCTTGCTTTTGAGTGGCAAAGAGGACTGTTTTGCCGTTAGGCGATATTCAAAGGTGAAGAGTATTAAATACTCAGTTATCTTATATTATAAAACCAAGCTTTCAAACTATTTTATCTGAGTTCTATCATTTTTATTCAAGTTTTTCATTTCTCTTGTTTTCGTTACAGGCTAACGTGGCACTCAAGGTTATTGATTTGTCCTGGAACGGATTCTGTTCAAAGGCCTGTAAAATATTGGGAGACTCTTTACTGGAAAACATGTAAGAAGACAGAATTATATAAACATAATATATGCATATATATATATATATATATATATATATATATATATATATATATATATATGTATAAATATATACATATAAGTATATAAAATATTATATGTATATTATATATTATAAACATACTATCATCATTATCATCATCATCATCCAGTACCAGATCTGCGGAAGAAATCATTGATCATGGTTCTCCATTCATTCCTTTGCTCGAATGCTCTTAAAAGAGCTATGTTACCCTGATCTTTCCCCGTTACCCATTTGTTTAGGTTCCCTTAGTAGGTTGCTTTGGACCTACCCCTTCCTTGTTTGCCTTCAATTTTGCCAGTAAAGCTAGACTTTCAAGACCTTTATCTCTATTCAGGTGTTCTTACAACTGCATTAGTTGTTGTTCCCTGATTGTTTTAAAAAGTGAGCTTCCCACGTTGGCTTTATAAAGTACTACCTCATTTGTATTCTCAGTAGTCTCCTAAGAAACCACAATTCTGTTGCTTCTATATTTTCACTGTCTATAGTGATTATCCAGCTTTCACAACCAAATAGAAAGGTTGATCATACATGTCGTTTCAGAACTCTCATTTTGGTGCTCATTGAGATGTTTCTATTGTTCAGGATTGGGCTCATTTTATTGAAACTAGCCTTAGTCATTGCAATTCGTTGTTTATGTCCTATGGAACATTTGGCATCCGATGTTATAATATTCCCTAGATTGTCAAGTAGATATTATATAAACTGTTGGACTTGTTTGATCTATTTACCGTTGCTAATGAGAATACAAATAAGATTTGCTGCTGGGTTTTTTTTTATTACTATGCATTTCTTTACATTCAAAAATAATTCTTTACGTTCCCTCTCCATAACAACAGTATCTAGAAGCGATTGAATGTCCTTTCCTGAGTCTGTAATTAAAACTGTGTCTCGGCATATTTGATATTATTAATATTTTCACTATTCACTTTAACACGTGGACATTTTTCTATGCTTTTACTGAGTGTTTCATTGTTTATGTTAAAGAGGTGTGGTAACATAACACATCCTTACCTCACTCCTCTTCTAGTCTACTTATATTCACTGTATTCTCCATTAATTTGTACAGCAGCGTTTTGGTACCAGTACAAATTCCTGATAATTCTTCGATCTTTTCTGCATAAATCTAGCTTTTCCAATTTTAACAATTAAATAGCTCTTAATGTAGACATGAACGCCTTTGAATAATCAATTAAGCATAAATACAGAACTTTATGTTGTTCAGTACATCTTTCCAATAACATTTTAAGGTGAATACAGCATTTCTGGTGCCCTTGTCAGTAAAAAAGCCGACTTGTTTTTTTGATATCTCTGGCCTTGACTTTTACTCATTCTTCCCATTTTTACTCACAGCAATATTTTTGTAAAATGTCCCATGAGGCTTATTGTTCTATGCATACCACACTCAGCGGCACCTGGTGTTTCTGGTAAAGCTATAAAACCTGACTTCATCATATCTTCTGGAATCTCACTGCTGTCATACATAAATTTAAGAGCATTATTGTTATTTCAGTGCCTAGTTCTTCAAGCGCGACAATCACTTCAACTTGGATATTATCTGGCCCTGTGGCTTTTCGTTGTTTCATTTTCCTAATTGCGCCTTGTACTTTTGTTTTTGATATTGGTGGTCCAGACGATAGAACATTGTTAGAGAGCAGGAAAGATGGTGAAAGGAGAAACACTTTTGTGAAGAAAATTTTCCGTCGCTCTCCTGATTCGAACCCGGGATTTATTGAATGGGGGGCGAACGTCTAAACCTCTCGACAGCACGAACACCCGCACGAGCTTCTTCAGAGCCTTGGACCTTGATGTTCCATGACGGATACTGGCGGGAGGCTGCCCATGCTAGGTCTGCTGTCAGATGACAAAAAACATACACACGTAATTAGGTCAAGTAGCGTTATTATACGGTAAGAAAAATTTTTCCACAGCGCGTCTTTTTGTCTCAGTTTTATGGCTGTAAAATTAAAAGGAAGCTTTAGACTTTTGAAAATACGCGTTGTGGCATAAATAGATATCGATATTGTTATGAAAAAAGAAATTTTAATCAATTATTCCATAACTGTTTACTGTATACCTCAGCAAATCAGATAAAAGTACCAAATTCTGGTTATTTTGAAACGCAACGAAAGGCTAGATTGTTTGTTGGGGGGGGGGGGGGTGTTTTGTTTTGTTTCTTTTTTTCTTTTTTCTTCACCTCTCTGAAAAAATTACATGTACGTTTTTCTGTCATAAGGCGGAAGAGTTGTTTTCAAATTTTATTTTGGAGATACCAGATCTCAGCTCAATGACTGCGAAATCGTGCTGAGCCTCTCGCAGACATTTTTCTGAAACCCCTTAGCCATTTTGTTTCAGTCCTCTATTCACTCCTCTATCCTCTTCTGTCTTTTCCTGGCTGCTCATCTTCGAGTACTTTGTTACGAATAGGTCAGCTTACTGCCAGTCAGATTGCTACCTAAGAGGAACAAAGGTGTATCTGGTTTTGATAAATTTGATGTAAAAATTATTGAGTCGCGCAACATGCCAAGCTTTTCCGAATGCAAGTAAATGAATATCTTGCTAATGATTCCAAAATTATTTTTTTTAAATAGTTTTGGTAGAGCAAATAAAAATTTGGTTTATGATCGTATGGTCTTTGTATTTCACAACGGCCTAAAAAGTCAGATAGAACTTTGTGATTCGAAAACAGCAGATGTGACTCGATTAATAACCTTTAGAGCTGAGAACATGTCTACCGAATTCTTTTTTAAACATATGAACTTTGACTACCTATTCTTAAAATAATAAATCGAACGTGTCTGTTGCGAGTGACGTGAGGGAAAAACACACAATTGGCCCGTTGGAGAGTGGCCACCGCGGAGGTGCTTGATCAGATAACCCAAAGACCGTGTATACCAAGATACATGTATTGCACTTCCTCTTTGTGCTTTTGTCCGCGGCCGTGGCGGGCTCGCTTTGCCGTGTAGCGCGTGATGGGCTACGTCACCAGGCGTAGCGAGGTTGGTTTCACCCGATATAGCTGATTTATTTTGGTAGTCTCGGTTTCACCACACACTGCTTAGGGTGTGTGTGCGTGCGTGTGCGTGTGTTTATGTGTGTGTGTGAGTGCGTATGTGTGTGTATGTGTGTGTGTGTGTGTGTGTGTGTGTGTGTGTGTGTGTGTGTGTGTGCAACTTTGTGGATGAGAAGAGGAGGTACAGGGTACAGGCTAAATCTATGGAACGAGAATTGCTAAGATTGTTTAATTGGAGATACAATTATTAACACACAAATAAAAACAAAATGAAAGAAAAGAAAAAAAGGGAAAAGGGTTGGGGTTGAGTGGATGGATGAGAAGGAAGAAAAGAAAACTGAAAATCAACAAACAAAAAAGAAGAAAATTATTTAATGATTTTAAGCTGCAAGATGTTCACCGATCGAACTCATGTAGTTTTCTGTCCAGTTATTTCATATCGGAACGATGGTTATAGTGTCGTTCTTAGTCTAGCTGGTTGTCCCTGGTCGACATCATATTTATTACAGAATTACCAGACAAATAATGACATTACGTGTTTTGCGAGTAAATTTCTTTGTCCAACTTAAGAAGTGAACGCATTGTGGCGACACAATGCAGTCTTGCTTTATAATTTCTTTACGACTTGATTTTGCCATCTTTTATAACAATGTCTTGCAGATTCAAACTGTCCTTGTCTCTTCTTATTGATATCGAACAACGACTGATTGTTTCCCCTTCATCTGCGTCCTTGAAATACGACGACTGGTGCTGTGTAAAAGAGTCACATTACCTCTCTCGAGATGGAGCGTTTTGAATATATAAGTCTTTTCAGATTGTTACATTTATTACATGAAAGTTTGATTCTGACTGCAATTGTTAGACCAAATTGACATCATAATAATATTATGGATCTCTGTAGTCGTGCTGGGCGAATTGTAAGTTAGGGAAAGTAAAAATCAACTCACTCCCGAAGAGGATAGTTCAAAGAAATCACGTGGAGACCAAATCTTGATTCCGAATAAAACAGTATTAAATCAAGCTGTTGAAAACTTATGCTTGAACAGCACATCTGATTTGGACATTGGCGACAGTGTTGTATAAAATGTATTTAATATGTTGGCCTGCTTCGGGCGTTCCACCCCATGAGATGAAAGAAAAATATTTAACGAAGCGCGCTTACAGAATTTAAGTCGGGGTATGGGGTATAAGGAAAATTGGATGCGGTACATGGGAAATAAGAGGTGAGAGATGGAAAACAGAAGGTGGGATTTGGAAGATTGGACTATGGTCATATGAGTACAATAATGACTATATAGCACCGGGTAAGCCTGAAAACTGACGCAGATAGAAAAAGACAGTAAACAATAATTCTTATTATAATAACAAACAGGGGACTTGTAGGCGGGGCCAACTGACAGCATCAGTTTGATTCGATTCGGCTCCGTCCTTTCCGTTCGTTTTTGTTGGTTTTTACCTGTGTTGTCAACTTGGGGCTAGTCGGATTGTTTTCTAAGGGAGAAGCAAAACCAAATATTCAACCAAACTGATAAAACCGACAAAACTGACAAAACCGACAAAACTGATAAAACGGACAAACCGACAAAATTACAAACTGACAAAACTATAAAAAAAAACCTGACAAAACCGACAAACCGGTAATGACCTTCAATGACAAACTCGTCTGTTTTCAAGGTCACGAGTCGGACCATCGGTTTGGGCAGTTGGTCTATTTATAGCGAGCACTGAAGCCAAAAGAAACTGAACCAAACCGAATCAAAGCAAACCGAACCTTTCAATAGGCACCGCCTATCAGCATTTCTCTCGCCAAACAGGTATAGATTTAGTAGACTCAGCTACTTTTTAAAATAAACATTATGTGTGACTTTGTGGTGTGATCAGCCTTTCGTTAAAATAATGAAATCGAAGAAATCGACATTTCTCCACTATTTAGGCAATTGTT